GAGAAATTGTTTATTTTAGTAACTGTCTGATCTTTTTCAACTTTGGAGACGGAATAAGTTAAGAATTTGCAATTTTTCCCTCAATGTCTGCTGAACGGGCCCTCTCGTCACGTAATCACAGAGAAAGACGGAGTTGAGGTGTGACCATGAACGTCAGCCAACATGGTGGGCCTCCACCTCCAGGCCTTTAATCCTCATCTCACTGCAGCACAACTAAAGCCCCACCGGAAAGCCCGTTCACAGCCCCACCACAGAAGCCAGGCCCCCAGAGGCCAGCGAGGGTTCCAGGAGTTCCAGGCCCCACACCCTGAGCGAGGGGACGCATGCCGGGCCCACGAAGCGTCCACCTAGCACATCTGACGCCTACTTTCTCCTCTTCTGTCAGTTTTGGACAAGTGACAAAAACCATTCCCTTTCTTCCCCCCCGCCTTCTTTGCAACTGTCAAACCAAACCAAAGGGAAGCACAAATTACGGAAATCCTGAGGAAAGAAGCATGGGGTGGCCCTTCCTGTTCACAGCCAGGTGCTGGTCTGTAGTCCAGCAAGGCCTCGGGCGTGGTCACTGGGCCTCTTGGCATTCCCCATCTGAGCACCGAGGGGATACCACACGGGCCACAGGTGACCCCGAACGCGCAACCACACATGGTCCACCTGGGCTTGGGGCATCTGCCTCTTGCCCCCCACCCAAGCGCCCCCCCCCCACGCCTCTTCCCTCCCTTTGTCTCCAAATCGGACATCCTTTCTAGCTGAGATTTTTATTTTTCCAGATCTGTAGTGTCATGAAGTGATTCCGTCTTTGATTTCCAGCGGCAGACCCAGGTGACGGAGCTCGTGCCCACCTCTGGCCGGGCGGGCTGGGAGCGTGAGGCCCCGCTTGGCCTGGGCCGGGGCACAGGTGCCAGACTGAGCGCAGAGCAGTTGAGTTGGTTTTAACTGCCGTCACCCGGTTGTGTTGTGACAGCTCTGCCCTCCTGTGGAGACTGTGCAACTGGGACCAGGTAACCAGGTCGGAGGGGTGTCACCCGAGAGCCTTTCTTTCTCTTTCTGCCCCCCGTCTTCGCTACGCCCCCTCCCCCAAGCTGCTGTCAGTCCAAGCCATTGGCATTGTAGTTTTTTTCTTTTGTGAATTAAAACCAACATACCAGCAATAGTCGGCTCTCCCCTGAAATCTCTTAACATGCTCTGTTTACATGGATAAATGCACTTACGGAAGACAAATTAAAGCTCATTTTAAAGTTAACGGGGTTTCTTTTTAACAGCTTATCTTATTTCTTGGTTTTAATTTCATCTGTAAAATCAGAGATTGGACCAGATTCAAGTTAATGGATTTTTATGTCCACATGTTCCTGGAGGTACACGGGTATGGCCAGGTGTTGGGTCAGGGGTCCCCGGGAGGCCTGTTACTTAAAGCACAGGCTCAGCTGGCAGGGCCTCCACACCTGTTCCACTTTCGAGTGTCTTGGCTCTCATCTGCTCCTCAAGGTGTGCCAGATTCGCTCTTACCCCAGGTCTAGACAGGATCAAAGCGCAGGAGGTTGGTTACCCCGAGCTCTGAGGAGATGTAACTGTGACCAAAAGCCTGACTTGGAAGAAGAAGCTTCCCGACCCCTGGCTCTGCCCTCACCACTGCACCCTGCCCCCCCCAAGGAGAATGGAGAGGTGTACACACCCACAGCACCACTGGGGGGCACCATGTCCCCTGTTAAGCCAGCCTGGCCAACCTCAGACCCCACCGTGCCCCCACCGTCCTCTCGTCTGGATCCTTGCTGGCACCGTTTTGCCACGTCAAGTGCTGGGTTCTGAGCCCCAGTCCTCCCCACAGCACAGCGGCGGGCTGAGCCCCAGACCCCTTGCATGAGCCAGCAAGCTAGTGCATCTCAGACTGGTAAGCACTGGGAGATGAGCTGCTGGCCACGTCGTGCTCATCGTCCTCATTGTTAGCCTCACTATCCGTCTTGCACCCCAAGAGGAAAACTCCCACCTCCCCTCACATCTTGTCTCTACAGGGCACAAGTCCGATAAATAGCTCTGGCTCTGAGCTCGAAGCATTTGCCCCATGAGGCCCCAGTTTTGTCCCCGTTGCTCCCAACCAGGTCAGGCTGGCGTCCTTGAACTCAGACCTGCATTAGACCCACCCTTTTCTGCAGTCACTAGGCCTTGGACACAGTGGCACGCAGAGAAGTGGCTCCTCAGGTCTTGTCCCCTTGAACCAGCAGAGATGACACGACTTCCTAGTTTTTTCCATAACATCTTAATTGAGATGTAATTCACACACGGGACCATCTGCCCACAAAACCAAGGTGTAAGTAAGCAGTCTTCGGTGTGTTCCCAGAGTTGCACGACTGTCGCCACAGTCCATTTTGGAACGTTTTCGTCACCGCATCCATTCTGTTTCTGTATTTGTCTGTTCTGGACGCTGTGTAAATGAACTCTTACACCGTATGGCCTTTTGGATCAGGCCTCTTCTGCTCTGCGTGGTTCTCTAGATCCATCCTGTTGCAGTGCGTATCGGGGCTGCATTCCTTTTTATGGCTGAGTGATGTTCCATCGTGTGTACGGACCATGTTCTCTTGATCTGTTCATCTATCAGTGGACGTTTGCTTATTTCCACCTTTTGGGCCCCCGGGCTGCCTGTTTCTCCAGCGTGCCCGGTGTATTCCTAACCCAAGCCTTTGCCCTAGCTGTTCCCTCTTGTGCAAGCCTTTCCCGCGTGGGGGCTCGTGCAATAACCATCTCCCGGTGGACTGCAGGCTCCAGCGGGGCAGCGACAGCGCTGGTCCTATCTGCTCCGTCGCCAGCTTCTAGCACAGTGCCTCCAGTTGGGGCTCTGCCAATGTATGTGGAGTGAATGAATTCGTGAATTGAATGAAAGCCTCATAGGACGGTGGGATGGTTGAAAACACATCAAGATCAGCAATGGCAGAGACTCACTGCCCCACCCCTGCCTGTCTGCAGGGCTGAGAGGGCACTGTGGTCCCTGCCCCAGGAGCCACCCCACGTGGGGCCAGGAAAGTCCTACTTGCTAGCTGAGTCCTCCAGTGAAAAGCCCAGAGCTACACCAGAGCGGGAGGGGCCTTGCAGTCCCAGATCCATATCCCCCTGCTGGTCCTCTTCCAGAAGTTTCTCTGGGGCCACCTGTCTGCTCACAGTTTTGAAGACTATGGTCACCAAGGGCTGGGGATGATTCTGTTGTGACATTCTCAGGGGAGGACTTCGGTTTGTGTAAGACCATGTCCCCCAAGTGGGTCAAGCTTACTGGGGGGAGCCCTCTGTCGTAGAGCCTCAGGGGGCTGGGCCAGAAGTGGCCTGAGACCCTCCATGTTTCTGGAGACTGCACCGTATGCAAATGAGACCAGGATTTAGAAGGGGCAAGGGTCTCTTGGGCTGGTGCGAGCCCTTCCCCAACAGCGTTGCTCCTTACCATCAGGGCTGGGAACTGACTCACCGGGCTGTGGAGGGCACAGAGGACGCAAGTAGCACAAGGTGGCCCAGGCTGTGCAGTCCCGAACCTGGGCTTCTGTGTCCCCAGCCAGGCCCAAAGGCATTGGATTAAGTCACAGTGAAGAGTCCTGATTTTACCCTCAACTGAGCCCCATGCCACAGGCTTGATGACCGTCACTCCTGCATCATCCCGTGATTAAGGGGGGCCGTAATCATGCCCACTTCACAATTAAGGCAACCGAGCCCCAGGGAGGTTGAGCAAGTCACCCAAGGCTACCCAGTGGGGTGAGTAAGAGGCCAGATCCCACGTGTCTCCCGCTTGGGACTTGTGGACCCATAGACTCCAGACAAGGCCACCCCCCACTGACCTTGAGCCTGCAGCGGGAGCTATCTAGACTGGCTGGCCCAGGGTGATAAGCCCCCGGGGGAGGCCCCCAGCTCAGCCACGAGGATCTGGGCTATTTCTGCCTGAAAGGGGAGAAGGAAGTGGTTTGGCCCCTGTGCTGGGGAAGGAGGTGCAGCTGGCTCACATCCGGGCCTGCCTGGTCCGTTAGACATGAGCTCCTACACTCACGGCCTATGGGGGTGGGGGTGGGGGGAGTAGGGCTCCCTAGCATGTCTTAGTTTTCTAAAATCAGAAGAAAAGAAATGAATAAAATAATAACGAATATATAATAATCCAGCCTGGACTAGATGCCAATGCCATCATAAAATATCATTTTAAATGTGGTTTTAGTGGTGTGTTTTGTTACAGAGGAAGTCATAATGTGGCCCCATGTGCGTAAGGAGGCCCCAGCCTGTCCAGGTTTGACCCTGCCTCAGGCCTTTGCCTGTGCTCTTCCCTCCACCTATAGCCCTCTCTTTCTGCACCTCACAATCAAGTTAACTCCTACCTGTCCCCAAGCACCTCTTCCTCCAGATCAGTTTAAACCCCCTCTGGGGTTCTTGCAACTCCAGACCCTCCTTCCTGAGAAGCTGTCTGCTTTTTTTTTTTTTTTTTTAAGATTTTATTTTTATTTATTTGACAGACAGAGATCACAAGTAGGCAGAGAGGCAGGCAGAGAGAGAGAGGGGAAAGCAGGCTCACCGCTGAGCTGAGAGCCCGATGCGGGGCTCGATTCCAGAACCCTGGGATCACGACCTGAGCCGAAGGCAGAGGCTTCAACCCACTGAGCCACCCAGGTGCCCCGAGGCTGTCTGCTTTAAACGTTAATCGTTTCTTACTCTTCTTCATTGCTTGCTAGATTATAGATGCCAGGAGGGGTGGGGCTTGCACCTCTTGGGGTCCCTCTCTGTCCCCTAAGGATCTGGCACACAGTAGGTGCTCAATAAAGGCTTGTCATGAGTAAAGTTAGGGTGTCCCTCTACACAGCTCAGAGGCTTTGCTGGACTGCATAGCATACCACAGGCAAGCAGCAGAGTCCAGTCCCGCCCCTAGGGCTCACCTACTTAAGGAAACAGGAACAGCCTGGGGGCAGTAGCCCCACCCCACTGACGTGCAGACCCTGAATCGAAACCAAGGCTCCTGCAGGCTCTGAGGACAGCAAGAGTGAGGGCGTCGGCTGCCCAGGGGTCTCCCAGGTAAGTGCAGGGTGGGAGTCCCTTAGCCAGCCACATGCCCACTTCAGGGCGAGGCCGGGCCCCAGGAGCCTCAGCGTCATCCCAGATTTCTAGAAGACAGAGCATGAGAGCCAGGCTGGGCCAGAAGGAGGGACAAGGTGGTAGAGACCAGAAAAGCAGAAGGAATTTCCAGTGGGAGCTGACCACTGAAAAACGGAGCTGGGGCTGGGAGGAGGGCATTCCTGGCAGGGAAACAGCATGGACCAAGGTGTGGAGGGTAAGAAAGCTTGGTCAGTTTGGGGTAGAGCAAGGATGTCCTTAGGGCTGGAGTGTGGGGGACAAGGAGATGGGCGAAGCCCCAGTGTCTGGGTCAGGAGGTCAAAACTTGGTACGGATTCATTCATCCCTGGCTGTCCATCACCAGACACCCCTGCACACTCGTCTGTGCCTGCCCAGCACCAGGTAGCACTGGGGACCCAGAAAAATCCAAAATGACCTAGCCCTGGGCCAGGTCTCTGGGCGCCCTTGATGTGGGGGAGACAGAAACAGACACAGTGCTTTGTGCATCTTGGTCTATTGATAGTAAATGACTCAGGCGCTCGCCCAGGCCCCAGAGCTTCCCACTCACGTCTCCCCTTGCCAAACCAGTGTGACAACAGGACTGACCCCTGTGGTTCTTAGGATCGCAAACTGACCACCAGCCATAACCATCTGGAAACTTTGAAGAAAAAAATCTATTACTTACATAGACCTGGTGTGTCCATGGCAGGCCAGGGGGCACACAACCAGGTTGCAGAGAGGGACCAAGCCAGCGCACATGGCCCTGGGGTTCTGCTTTATTGGGCTTGGCGGGGGTGGCTAAGGTTTGGGGGGGCTCACTCCTTATTAATGAATGTATAAGAGCAGGAATTTGAAGCATGGGAAGAGGGAAAAAAGAAAAGAAAGAAGGGGGGGAAATGATCCCAATGGCCAGTTATCGAAATCAACTGGGATGTCTGAAATAAAGGAGCCTCGTGGTGGGGCTGTGGGGGTGGGGAAGAAAAAGGCGGGGAGAATCCTGGCTCTTTATCTAGTTGTGCGGCTCTCAATGTGTTTATTCGTGATAGACTTCAGTGAGTTCAAGCAGATGACTTGGCAGTCAAAGCTTAAGTCAGGCACTTGAATTAACAGAAAGAAAAACCTGCCGTCCGGACTCACACTACACACAGACACTTGAGCTCCACGAGGCAAGGCTAGGCAAAACTTGGGCAGGAGCAGAGGGGAAGATGGGAGACAGAGAAGGGGGCCAAGGCTTTTTCTAGGGGAAGAGACAGGAAAGCTGCCTGGAGGAGGGGATATTTTTGTTGGGTCTTGAAGGAGAAATAGGAGTTCTCCCAGGTAGAAAAAAGAACAAACCTGGACACTACTGGATTCATGAATATTTATTATATACACAGAGCGCGTAGTTCTGAAGGAACTGTATTTTCCCAGGCAAATATCATCATATCCCCAAACTACAGATGAAACTAAAGGCACAGAGATATTAAGTGACTTACTCAAGTCACACAGCAGCTGAGTGGGGGAGGTGGGGCTGGAACCCAGACTATCTGGCTCTGATTCCAGGCTCTTTGCTTTGTCACCCTACTTTATTAAATATTTCTTAATAGATCTCTTTAATTTTACTCGTCCCAGAATGCCTTTGGGCCTCTCTCGGGAGGGCGTGCTCAGCATCTGTCTTCTGGCAAAAGAAAGTCAGTATTGACCAGGTTAGTCAATATGTCCCCACCTCTGGAAACAGCCCAGTAATAATGACCTTCTGCAATATTGAAACATTAGATAGGGCCGGCGTAGGGGGTAGGCCAGGTTAGGGACAGAATTAAGGGCGACCATGAAGGGTTCTGAGCAGACCACCCAGCAGGGCATGACCCTGTGGCTGGTTTTGCATTGATTTGATACTCTTTTACAAATCAGAACTATTGGGGCGCCTGAGTGGCTCAGTTGGTTAAGCGTCTGCCCTTCGGCTCAGATCATGATCCCAGGGTCCTGGGATGGAGCCCAGCTTCGAGCTCCCTGCTCAGCAAGAAGCCTGCTTCTCCCTCTCCCATTCCCCATGCTTGTGTTCCCTCTCTTGCTGTGTCTCTCTCTGTCCAATAAATAAATAAAATCTTTTTTTTAAAGACTTTATTTATTTATTTGAGAGAGAGAGACAGTGAGAGAGAGCATGAGAGGGGAGAAGATCAGAGGGAGAAGCAGATTCCCCGTGGAGCTGGGATCCCGATGCGGGGCTCGATTCTGGGACTCCAGGATCATGACCTGAGCTGAAGGCAGTTGCTTAACCAACTGAGCCACCCAGGTGCCCAATAAATAAAATCTCTTAAAAATAATTTTTTAAAAATCAGGACTATTCTTTTTCTTCAGCTCCCTGTCATTGGCTCACAATTCCAGTGTTACCTTGAGCTTAAAACTGTCGAAACTCATATGAATTCATGTTGTTGTCCCTGACACATTACAGATGTGGCTTTGGTGCCACCAGAGATGATGATGTTGGGAGCAAAGGAAGTTACTCAGGGCCACATCTCTCTAGTGTTTCTTCACTTACCATTTTCTTTTTAAGATTTTATTTATTTATTTGACAGGCAGAGATCACAAGTGGGCAGAGAGGCAGGCAGAGAGAGAGGGGGAAGCAGGCTCCCCTCTGAGCAGAGAGCCCAATGCGGGGCTCGATCCCAGGTCTAGATCAAGACCTGATCATGACTTGAACGAAGGCAGAAGCTCAACCCACTGAGCCACCCAGGTGCCCCTTCACTTACCATTTTGCCATGTCCCCATAGCTCCTGGGATGTTGATATTTATTTAAATAAAGTCAGTTCATCTTTTTAAAAAGTATTAGAGAGAGAGAGAGCGTGCACTAGCAGGAGGGACAGAGGGAGAGGGGGAGAGAATCTCTAGCAGACCCCATGCCGAATGTGGAGCCCAATGCAGAGCCTGATTGATCTCAGGACCCTGAAATCGCACCCTGAGCCAAAACCAAGAGTCGGGTGCTTACCCGACTGTGCCACACTGGTGCCCCTCAATAAAGTCAGTTTTTAAGCTTAAATGCATATATTTATAAAGGGAGCTTTCGAACACTTGGTAGTAATAGTGTAAAAAGAATAGAAGGACAAGGAAAAATTCTGGGAGGATTTTTGGAAGAAGCCAATGAATGAATGCATAGTAGGTGCTCAAGAAACACAAGCCGGTTTCAAGCCTGTTGCTCTCACCAGCTTGGAGGACTTACCCAAGGAGGAGGCACCATGAGCTGTAAGAACAGAGCAAAGCACAGGAGGTGGACCAGGCTTGACTCTCTCTCCTCCCTCCTACTGCCAGGTAACCGCTCCCCAGAAAGCCATGACAGAGGCAGGAAAACTGCCCCCACCACTGCCCCCTCGACTGGACTGGTTTGTGCAGACACAGGTGGTTCAGCTCTCCCAAGAAGGGGTCCCTGCATGGTTCCACGGTGCCATCTCGAGAGAGTAAGGACACACACACACACCTTCCACCATGCCCTTTCCTTGTCTGCCCCCACCCTGGGCAGATTTTCTACAGAATTCTGGACTCAGCTTGGCTTGGTGAAAAGAGTTCTGAAGTGCTGGGCAGGTGGGGACTCAGCGTGGGACGTGGGCCAGTTACTTCCCATCCTTGGACATCAGCTTTCTCTATACTAGTGGCCACCAGATCAGCACTGCCAGGGACCCATCCCCCGAAGCCAGGCATCTGCCATCAATCATGGCAGGGTGCAGCCTCTGAATCCTTCTTAACACAGTGTCCCAAACAGCTGCTCTCCATCCATCAGGGACATGACCTACATGCCCTTTCTACACTGGACTGAGTTCTGAGGACATGAACAAATACATCTCATTAGTTTACCCCCTCGGTTCTCAAACAAATGAAGAGAACATCTATGGCCACCATTAGCCTAGAGACATTGAGAGAATGTCACGAAAGCCACAAAGAGGGCAGGTTGGCCGCCATCTCTGAGTTTTGGGGCGGGGGCACCCCTAAGAATATAATGTGAGCCACGTGTTGCAATTTTAGCTTTTAGTAGCTATAGTAAAAGAAGTAAAAAGAAACAGGCAGAATTAATTTTAATCTTATCTTTTCTTCAACCCAGTATATCCAGGATATTATCATTTCAACATGAGCACTAAAGGCTCACTCATGAGATAGTGTCCATTCCTTTATCCTATAATAAGTCTTGAACCTCTGGTATCCTATGCCAAAAGCACATCTTAAAAACCACATTCTAAGTGCACAGTAGCTACACGTGGTCAGCGGCCTCTGGAGTAGACAGCTTGGGTTCCAAGTCTCCCCATCTTGTTCTGTAGAAGGCCACCTTCCTTCCTCTCTGTGACCCCAGGATAATCATAGTCATGATGATGGTGAATACTAGTAGTAATTTGGTGAGAAGTTACTGGGTATGAGGGCATTTCAGACATCAGGAAGGCAGGCAAGGGTGGTGGGGTATAGAAGAAAGTCTGTCCTGGGGTCAAAGTCATCAGAGGCCTTCTGCCCCTGATGGGAACATCCCTGAGCCTGAGTATCCCAAGGTCTGAAACCACTACAACAAAGGGGTTTAGGTTTGTTCCGTCCTGGGATGACGGGTGCACATCTGCCTCCTGTGTCTGTCCTTCCAGGGACGCTGAGAATTTGCTGGAGTTAGAGCCACTGGGATCCTTTCTCATTAGAGTGAGTCACAGCCACGTGGGCTACACGCTGTCCTACAAGTAAGGCCCGGGCTAGGGCCCAGGGAAGGGGTGGGAGGGCTCCAGGGTTTCCTGGGAGGAGGCAAGGGGTGTATCATGCCACAACTGCTCAGAGAGCAACTGGTGTAAAGTTCTAGCCAAATCTGGCTGCAATGAGCAGCTGCAGGTCCGGCTATAACCAACAGATGGGGGCTTGGTGGTAACAGCCTATGTGTCTGAGAACAGGGGCTGCTGGGAGCCCAAGAGTGGCTGCTGCCCTCCCCTAACCACCCCTCCCCATTCAGCCATCTGCTTGGCAACTCTGTGACTCCACCCACAGGGACATGTTAAGGAAACTTAGGGCAGTCCAGCTCCTTAAGGCCTCAGAACCTGACCGGGCATCCCACAGGATTCAACAACACAAACTACTTTTCAAAAAGGACTCCAGTCCAAAGGAATTAAAAAAAAAAAAAAATCCAATGGCTTCACTGGAGAGTTACCCACCGTGGGAGAAGTTTAGGCCCCGAGTCACACAGTCTAAGGCCACTTACATGCTGTGTGACCTTGGACAAGTTACTCAACCTATCTGTGCCTCCCCCAAAGTCCTCATCTCTAATATAGGAATGCTAAAGTCATTCAGGGACGCCTGGATGGCTCAGTGGGTTAAGCCTCTGCCTTTGACTCAGGTCATGATCTCAGAGTCCTGGGATCGAGTCCCACATCGGGCTCTGCTCTGCGGAGAGCCTGCTTCCTCCTCTCTCTCTCTGCCTGCCTCTCTGACTACTTGTGATCTCTCTGTCAAATAAATAAATAAATTCTTTAAAAAAAAATAAAATAAAAATAAAGTCATTCAGACTGTTGTGAAAATTAAATGAGATATAGTAAGCACATAGTGGGCCATTATATAAGTGCATCCATCCATTAACAGACCATTTATTGAGGACCTGCTGTGTGCCAGGCGCATAGACTTAGCCTGGGGGCCTGACTCCAGTTTTCACTACCATCACTTCTACTGATCCTTTGACTCCAGCCAGACACCGAGCTAAGCTTTTATCTGTGGTAGCTTATTCCATTTTCGTGAGAAATCCCGAGGTCAGCCTTAGTAGCCCCACGTTATAGATGGGGAAACTGAGGCACAGTGTGGTTAGTACCAGTGTCACATGGCTAAAAAAAATGCAGAAAGCTCCTGGGAACCTAAACACTAGAGCTGCAGCCTCAGTGCCACCAGCTGGGGGAGGGGCTGGGGGAAGATGGGCTTGGAAGGAGGAGGAATAGGACTTCTAGCCCCAGCAGTGTCACCGCAGAGCCCAGAGCTGCTGCCGCCACTTCATGGTGAAGCTTCTGGATGATGGGAGCGTCATGATCCCTGGGGAAGAGAAGGCCCATGCCTCGCTGGACGCCCTGGTCACATTCCACCAGCAGCAGCCTGTGCGGCCCCACAGGGACCTGCTGACCCAGCCCTGTGGGCAGGTAAGTGTTGGAACCCCTGGGGGACTGTAGCTGCCCTCACAGGGGCCAAGCCCCCAGACTCATTTTGTTCCCATGCTCCCCATTCAGCCTCTTGTGATTCTGTCATGCTTGTGGTCCCTGCCCTCCCACAGCCCCACCCCTTCTGGTCCTCCTTCCCTGCCTCACCCCAGCCCCCCCAGGCTAATCTGTGACAAGGGTTGGTTTGTGGGGGTATAACCTTGGCTGATCTATAGGAATAATATATCTCCTTATAAGGCTCATGGGAGTGGAAGGGGATGGCGGTGTGGGGGGGGGGTGCTCCTACCCTCGGAAGCTACTGTGGGAGGGGCAGGCTTCCATACAAGGTTCATGGGCAAGGCAGCCCTCAGCGCCACCTTCTAGGGTTTGTCTGGGACCCTGGGACCACCCCCATCTCCCTCCTTGGGGCTGAGCAGTAGATGCCCTCTGCCCTACAGAAGGATCCAGAGAACTTGGATTATGAGGATCTCTTCCTTTACTCCAATGCACTGACTGAGGAAGTCACCAGCCCCGCCCATGTCCCCAGGGAACATCAGAATCCTTCCTCCTCCTATCTCAGGGCTGCACCTGAGAAGGTATGTGACAGAAAGCTCGCATCTCCAACGCAGGGGTGGGGCAGGGGCAGAAGTGGCCAACAGCTGCCAGAGGAGACTTTCTGGAGTGAAAAATTAGACCCTATAACTGCAAGTATAAAACCTTCCAGTGATTTTTCAAGACACCGCAATGAAAATCCAAACTGTGACCTCAGCTACTCCTTGTGCCCAGCACCAGCCCAGCTCCAGCCTCTCTGTTATCCTTTCTGTTGTTCTGATGCATCAAGCTAGCCTTAGGACCTTTGCATGTGCTGGTCCCACCTCAGGGCCTTTGCACATGCTGTGTGTGCTCTGCTCCCAGATTTCCTATGCCTGGCTTCTTTCTTCAATTCTTCAAGTGTCTCCCTCCCCAGACTCCAGACTGGAAGTAGTCCCCTCTGCATTCTCCATCACCTCACCCTGTTTATTCACTGCAGAGCTCTCCTCACAATTTAAAAAGTCTTTTTGTGGATTAAGAATCTGTGCATTTTCATGTTTCCTGCCTGCCTCCCCTATGAGACTGTGATAGTGAGTGGTGTCCTCCATGCCCCCACATGGCAGGGAAGCTCTGATAAGAGTGGCAAGGAAACAGGCTGGTAGGATGAACATCAGTGGGTGTGGAGCTAGGTGGTGAAGGTAACAGTCAGGGAGGACCTCCTGGGGGAGACGGTATAGACCTGGGATGCATAGGGTAAGGAGGAGTCAGTCACACACAGCTATGCAGGGAGGGTGTTTCAGGCAGAGGAAAGAGCACATACAAAGGTCCTGAGGCTCAGTGTATTTGCAAATCAAAAGAACAATAGCCAGTATGTGTATGGAGTGGGGTGAATGAAAGGGAGGTCCCTGGGAGGCCAGGGGCCAGGAACAGCAGGAGCCAGTCATGCAGGGCCTTGGGGCCTGGGAGCTGGCATTCTAGTCCGGTTGTGCAGGGGGAGTTGCAATGAGAGAGCCTGTGGCTGCCAACTGCAGGAGGGGCTGCCTGGTGGCAGTAAGGAGGTGGCAGGAAGGGGGCAGGGACTGTCCAAGGCAGAGACTGGGAGGGACCAGAAAAGGATCCCTGGGGGTAGAGCAAGAAGAGGATATTTGAGGCATTTTAGAAGGGAATCTGGAGGTGGGGGGTGAGGGGAAGCGAGCTGCTGTCATGGTTTGAGTCCCTGGGGCCTCCATTATTTGGGAGGTGATCCCAAGATGTGCCAGTAGGGGAGCGGGGAAGTGGGACAGAAGAGGGCAGCCCATGAAGGGCGTGTTAGGGAGCAGGTTCCCCTGTGGGCAGCCAGGGTTTGGTCTCCCCCGGGAAGGCTAGAACTCTGCATGGGACACGCACACCGGTTATCCCACCTTAGGGGTAAGGAGTTGGGGTATTGATACTCCATTTCCCATTAGTCCTTGGTCAAGTGCTGCTCCTGGGAGATTTTAATTCTCAGCACTTCTGGCCTGCCATGGGTTCATAGAAGGACCCCGGCCAGAGTCCCCTCTGCTGGCCTTTGGGAGTGGAGCTCGGGGCACTGAGTGCTCAGGGCAAAGGGAGATGGATGGGGCATTGTCGGCATCTGCCACCAAGGTCACCTGAATGACCAAGTAGATCAGGGCCTGAGGACCCCATCTGGCCTGTTTCTTTCTGGCCCACGAGCTAAGCAGGGCTTTCATGTTTTTGAGCAGTCGAAAAGCATAAAAATAAAAGTAATATTTCATGAGCTGTGAAAATCAGATGAAAGTGGAATTTCCACATCCATCAGTTTTGCTGGAATGCAGGCATGCACACTTGTTGACGAACCATCTCAGTTGCCTCAGAACAGAGACTGTGTGGCCAAGAAACCTAAAAATATTTACTCTCTGGCCCTTTATGAAAAGAGTTTTCCAGTCTCTGGGGTAGATAATGAAAGTGTTCATGCGGATGGGGAGGGGGCATGGGATCAGGTTTGGGGTTCACTTGAGGTCCTTCTCACCCCTCCAGATGTCTGAGTGGGACCCATGTCCCAAACTCCAGGGCAGATTCAGAGCTCTGGTGGGTGGGATGGCCCAGGTCTCACCTGCTCTTGGTTTCAGACCTCAGCAAGCCCGGTCCTGCTTCACTGGCCAAAGGGAAGGGAGCCACGAGCACAGATGGACAGAGTCTCCACGGAGGAAGCCACTTCCTCCTGCCCCCCAAAAGCTCCTCTTGAGAAGGTCTGCCGGAAACTCTGGAGGAACCTCAAGACACTCCCTGAGACAGGCAAGAGGGTCCAGCAGCAGCTGACATCCCACCTGCCATCTATGAACTTGTCATCGCTCTGGAGTGCTGGGCCACCAACAGTGACACACAGCTCAAGGACCACGCCAGGTGACACACACTGGGAAGGTAATGTTGACACAGACAGCTCAGTGGCCATGTCCCCTGCAAGCCCCTCACGGCCCCAGGATCAGAGAGACAGAGCCAACCCATCCAGGAAGGCCTCAAGATTGGCCAGCTGGAGCGAGGCGACCCCAAGGGTCAAGGGTTGGCACCAAGCGGTAGTGAGGGCCCTGTCCTCAGAAGTGTCCAGACCAGAGACAAAGGACTTGGCAGAATCCCAGAAGGACTGGCTCCCTGAGGAGTACCACCCACCACCACCCTTTGCCCCTGGGTACTGTTAAAGAAGAGCTTTGTCCTGGCTCTGGGGGTTGCTCACACTGGACCCCTTGTTATTTACCCACCAGTCCTCAGGAACTGAGAAATGTAATAAAGACATTGCTTGGGTCTGGTCCTGCAGGTGCCGGTGGGGTGACCTGATGATTTGAGTAATAATAACCAGTTACAGGAAGGGTCTAGGGCACCTACTGTGTGCCAGGCCCCACGCCAAAGCCTCCACATTCATTATTTCTGTTCTGCCTCTGAGCAGGCCCAGCAGGTAGGCTCATGCTGCATATTTTAAAGAAGAGACTAAGGGTCAGAGAGGAGGAGAGGCACAACCAAGGTCACCCAGTTATAGGGGGTCAGTGCCAGGATTCGAAACCCAGTCAGTTGGAGTCCTTTCCCTACATCCTCTGCCCCTGGCTCACCCCTAAGTACATCATTGCCTATAAACAGAGCTGTTCACACCTTCCTCCTGGGGTTCTCGTGCAAATGAAGGAGGTGAGACTTGGAGAGGGCTTGGCACACGGTACACACTTCCAACACCAACATCAGATTTAGGAGAAGCATATGAGCCCCCTTAAAGAAGAAGACAGCCAGCCCAGGGTCATGATTAGCAGTGGGATCTGGAGGAAATCCCAGGTCACAAGACTGTGTGACATCTAGTGAGTTCCTACACCTCTCTGGGCTTGTTTTCTCATCTGGAAAATGGGGAGAGCAGCAATCCCTCTTCCTCAGGATGAACCAAAAGGATGCACATAAAAACTGAGGCTTTGGCTCACAGCAGGTGCTTAGTAAGTGGAAGCTGGGTGTGGGGGGGGCAGTGACACACAGTGAAAGGGTCTGGGAAGGGGCCTGGTAGCTCGTTTTGATTCCAGGAATGACCATCCCTCCCTGGAATTACTGGGGCTCTAAGTGAGCCCCCAGATGTGGTGGAGTGGGTGTGGGGCTTCTCAAATCCTCAAAGTGTAGATATTCTGGGATCTGGAAAGAGGTGGGCCTGGGCTCAAGGCTGCCTTTACAGATGACGTGAGGTGTGGCCTTGGGCTAATAAGTCTGTTCCCTCCGAATGAAGTGTGATTGCTTCTCAGTCAACCGCGCCGGGATGCCACAGGCAGCCAATGCAATGGCAGAGAGACAAGTGCTTCGTAAACTGTAAAGTACAGTGCCAGCCTCAGTGAATGACATTGCTGCCACCTCCCCCAGAGACCTCCTCTGGCTATTCTAATGAATGAGCATGGAGTTAAAGCTTTGGTCCCTTTGAGAAGCTCAAGGATTGGGAGAAAAGAGGAGGCTTGAGAGGTTGGAGGCAGGGTTCAGCCTTGGGAGGCCCGGGGGTGAGATCCCATGGGCGTGATCTCCACATCTGGTCTCTGCCCCCCAAAACTCACAGCCACCAGTGCACCTCCAGCCCTCACGGTGGACAGAGATCTAGAATTCAGCCACTCCCTAGTATAAATGGGGACATCAGGGTTCAGAGGGCACAGCCCCACCCAGGGTCACGCAGTGAGGGCAGAGGTGAGAGCCCAGGCTTCCTCTCTCCCATCCGGCAGGTTTAAGGTGAAACATGTGTCCTCCAAGCAGATGTGACTCAATGATGAGTGTTTATTCCTGGAACCCAGGGAGACCGGATTCTACCGTGGAGTGAGGGGTCACCCCGTCCTCCTCTGACCTGGCTTCTCCTCCATGGTGTGCTCAGATGCGGATGTGGAAGGTGCTGGGTGCAAAAAGAAGGAGAGTCAGTCATCAGGCAGAGAAGGTGGCCCTCCTTTGTCCCCCCCATCCATCCCCGAACTCTCCCGCAGGGACTCCCTGAGGCCAGGAACCACAGCAGGAGATGGTTCCCCTCAAGAACCCCAGGCTGTGGCCCCCCCTCAGCCCTCAGAGGGGTGGAAAGCACACCTCTTTGGACAGGAATTGACATTCTGACTCCGTCGCAGACTTGCTGTGGGACTCCGAGTGAGTGGCTACCCCTGGGCTTCAGTTTACTTCTCTGTAAAATGGGGATAATAGCCGTCCCTCTGCTTGGGGCTGTAATGAGGGCCAAGGGGGCAAATGCACAGGGCACTGCTACACAGAGATGCTGTCTTCTGTAGGGTTCATTCAGTTGTCATTATTCGTGTCTCTGTCTGCTAAGAGACCAGCCACGCTTCTCCAGGTGTGTGGGGGGGGTGCCCTCTGTGCATGTCAGGACACATAGTAATAGCCACGATCGCAACCCCAGCACACAGATACGGAGCATGTACTGTGTGCCAACCCTGCCGTAAAGTCTTTCCACGTACTAACTCAGGGATCGGCCAACATTTCCCATAAAGAGCCAAATGGTTGGTATTTCCAGCTTTGTGCAAGGAGTCAGCTGGGCCTTGTAGCTAAAGCAACCATGGCCAATCCAAGTACAAGCAGGCCTGGCTGTGTGCCAATAAACCACTGCTGGACACGGAAATTTGAATTTCATATCCATTTCATGAGTCACAGAGCACTATTAGTCTTTAATCTTTCCCCCGCCATTTAAGAAACATAAAAATCATTCTTTGCTCACGGGAGGTACAAAAACAGGTGGCTGGGCCACCCCCTGTATTAACTGGCTATCAGCCCTACGATGGGGGCTCTGATTCTCTCCAGGACTGCCCGGTACAGTTGTACACTCTGTTCACTGCCAAATGTTCAGGCAAGAGAGAGCTGAAGACCAGCCATGTTGCATTCACCCGAAGAGCTGCATCCATCCACAGGTCGTTACCCACAGGGTCCCCAATTATCCCCATTTTAAAGATGCAGGGACTGAGGCCAGGAAGGCTGGGAAAGTTCTCCAAGGTCACAAATGAATGAACAGAGGAACTTTCACAAATGGAGTCTGTGAACTAGTTCTGCAGGAGCCCCTCTCAGACATGCAAAGTGGCAAGGAGTGTCACACCTGAGGAAGTCGGGTGCCCGCAGGATCATGTTCTGGAAGTCTTCCAAGGACAGCCGCCCATCGTGGTCGCCATCAGCCTCATCTAGCACCTTCTCACACACCAGGCTCACCTCCTCAGCACTCAGCTCCCCCCGCGTCAGCTTGGTCACTGTCTGCTCCAGGTCCCACGCACAGATGTAGCCATCATTGTTAAAGTCTGTGTAGTGGGATGAAGGGGATATGGAGTGGGGGCACAGCTGGGCACAGGCAGGTTGGGCCTCTTGACCCCATGTTACCGAGGAGCAAACTGAGGCACTGGAGAGAACCCAAGACCCTGCGATAATAGCTGGGTCTTGCTTTGGAATTGAGCAGAGTTCTGGTGGGAGGTCATTCATTCACTCTCCAAGTATTTATTGAGCCCCTACTATGTGCCAGGCATATGTGACTGTTTTTCATCTACTCACTCAATAAGGATTTAGAGAGTGCCTATTATGTTCTAGGCACTGTGATAAAGTTCTGTTAATTCGACAGGTTTTTAGTGAGCACCTACTATGTTCCAGGTGTTGTGATAAATTTCCATTCATTTGATCAGTCAACAAGTATTTATTGAGCACCTACTTTTTGCCAGGCATGAGAGACCGATGGGGAAAAAAACAGACACTGTTGCTGCCCTTGGGTCTCATCAGAGAGAAAGCCATAAGAAATGAACAGATTATGAACAGAAATTAAGCAGCACTGCTCCGTGCTAGGAGGGAACTAGGATGTGGGGTGGAGAGTGATTGAGGGTGGAACTGCTTTTGACCTAGACTTCAAGATGAGCAGGAGTCAAGGAAAAGGTGTTGGCAGGCAGAGGGAACAGCAGATGCAGAGGCTGGGAGGGAGGAAGAGTTTGGAGTGCTGGAGGAAGAGGAAGGCCAGTGTGGCTGGAAAGGAGTAAGTAAAGGGGTGAGGAGAGCAAGTACCAAGTGTGCAGGACAGGGCCACGCAGGGCCTCGAGACCCCCGGGGAGACATCAGTGATGGCAGCGCAGCCCCTGGCCCCAGGCAGGGTCTTGTTCCCACTCCCCACCCCACTCCCACTCTCCCCCACCCCCATGCCCTGCACGCACCATAAATTTTAAAAGCATAATAGGCTTTGAGGTCACGGGGAGCCATTTCGCTCATCACGGAAAACATGTCCAGGAAGTTGTCCAAGGTCATGTGCCCGTCCCCGTCCTCAGAGAACACCTGGGCAATCCTCTGGCGGAATGGGTTGTCCTGGAGGCAGGAAGCAGGGAGGCCATCCCTGACCCGGGACTCCGGGCTCCCTATGGAAACGCTCTCAGCACCCGCCTTCCTGAAACCTTCAAGTACCCCCCACCTTCAAACTTCCTCCCGCCCGTGGCCTTCAGGCAACTCCTTGCTCTGGACCTGTGGTCTGGGTGGCCTTGACCCCACTTGTAGCTCCAGGTGGAACCACGTGACCTGGTTGAGGCCAATCAGACAGCGCTACCATTGGCAACCATGATTGGTTCTGGGGTAGGTAGCGTGACTCAAACTGGCCAATCAGAGGCTGCCCTGGAAGATGGAGCTGGAGGGACCTGGTTTCCGGTGGTTGCAGAACTGGCAGGAGGGATCTGGGACCACTGGGGCTTCCCTTCACCACCTCGGGCAGACAGGCTGCCTGAGATTAAAGCCCCTTCCTGGGGGAAGCTGAGAGATGGAGGGAGACTCCCGAGCACACTCTCAGAAACCCGGGTTCCAGCCAGACCTGGTAATAGCTCTGCCCCCTGGGGTTTCTCCTCAGGTGTTCCAATACATTTTGTCCCTCTCCAATGAGGTCTCTGTCCCTTGTGGTAAAATCATCTCTGCTCAGTCACTCACCCCACAAATCCCCCTCGGCAGCACAAACTATGTGACAAACATCCAGCTGAGAAGGACCTGCCTTTTTAGCGGCTCTTGCTATGAAAAGCAGAACTCACGTTCCCTGACTACTTGCCATGCTGTAGACCCGGTGCCAAGCCCTTCACCAGCATTATCTCATCCCATCCTTCCAACGACCCCCGGTCTGAATCCTGTCTCTGTCACATCCTAGCTGTGTGACCATGACCAAGTTTCTTAACCTCTCTGAACCTCACTTCTTACATCTGTAAAATGCATCCACTTCATAGGAATGCCACAGCAGGTATCCTTACTATTTTTTCCCTGCCTGCCCAATGGCCCGCGGATACCTTCAGCTCGGGCATGCTGCTGATGAGCTCGTAGGGCAC